CAAACCCATCGCAAACCCTCATAATCGAAAAGCATCACAATCTCGGCGAAACTCATCACAAATCGTCAAATAATCAACGAAAACCCAACAGATCTCAAATCGCAAATCCGGAAAAAAAACTGTCACAAACTTCCAATTCCACACAGAGACTCAGAGGAAACCGAAGAAAAGCTCGTTCCTTCTTTGATTCTTCATCATCGTTTCTATTAACAACCGTAAAATCACAAGCCCCACGTCGTAAGTCCCTCTCCTTTTAACAATCCTTCCCCTATCCCTTTATGACCCGACCCAACCAATTTTAGTTTCATTTTTTTTTTTTGTAATGTAAATAAATAATATACTAACTACTAACCACTAACTCAATAATATAAAAAAAAATTGAAAAACATATTTAATAACTAATATAAAATCGAAAATTATAAAAAATAATAATAATAATAATTATTGGTATTCTATTTTTAATTATTTCAATAAAAAAAATTTTAGAATATAATTTTAATAAAAAAATATTAATTTAATCTCAGTTTTTTCTTAATAATTTAAAAACCTATAAATAAATAAATAAATTTTTTTTCTTTAATCTAATTTGTTTATTAATTTAACTTTTAGATAATGTTAGAACTTTTTAAGTTGATTAATCTTTTCCACTTAACTTAATAATTTTTTCACAAAAACTATTTAATTGCTCCAATTCCGATTCACAATCCATCTAACTAATTCACGATTATCCATTCAAACTTAACTTCGTAACCTTATTAATTTGCACATTCGCACTTCTCCTTTACTATAGCATTTGTATATTCACTTTTATCTATTGCTACACCGCATGTGTAATGTCCAAAGGAAGAACCTGTGCATGACTTCATAAGTCGTGCGTATTACACCTCATCTGCATCATTATTCCCCGCTCGATCCTTGAGTTCTCAAGCTGATCAGCTTAGGTTTAGATCTTACCCATTAAGGAGGACCGTTTTATCTTTCAACTTAGATAAACCATACAATTCAATCAACTATTCTCCATACAAGAGAATTAGACGTGAGTCATCTTAACAGTTGAGAAATAATTCTCCCGCCCCATAATACAATCGTGAGATATAAGATCTTTTCCACTTGAGAGAGATAGTGGCATACTCATCGATAAATCCGAGTGTTTGAGCTCTTCTCTCAAGACGATGCAAAGACCATCTCCTACAAGTTGTGGTGGTTAAGTCGAGTGTTCTCCCTTGAGATGACGACTCATCTTTTCTCCTAAAATCAATTAAATAAACCTTTTCCCCCTGGAACCTTGACCATAGTCAAGAAGTTCCTCAATCCCTTTTAGGGGAGCTACAAATACTCTGATTCCATTCCCGTCAGGATATGTAGGCACAAGATGCAACGTCTTGGCGAGTATATTTAGAAATAAACCATTAGGTTTTTCACCCTTAAGCAGATAACCCTTAGCAATAAACACACATAAAACAAGAGGTTCTTGTAGAGTACTACAAAAACTTAGGATGCTGGCACCTTCCTTAAGTTTAACCAACCCCCGAACCTTTAACTCTCTAGCTTTTGCATTTGTATTGTATCGTCGGTAATTCGATCTTTTCCCCTTCCTTTGGACCAATTAAAGACCGGTGGTGAACCAATGAATTAAGATTCAAATTAATTAATAATTTGACATCCAATTCTCAACGCGACAGACATCACGGTTGCTAGATATATATAGGATTCGAAGTGGAAAAAGAGCGACTGAAGAGGGGGTATGCCAGTAGCCAAGAAGAATACAAAAGGTCCCTTGGATGTAATTTACTATAGAAAACTAGAGGAAACTTTGAAAAAAGAAAAGAAAACAAGCTTGAATGGTGCTTGTGATAAGCAAGCAAGAGCAAGTTGTCTCCAATCCATTTTGGGAAGATATTGTGTACACTCTTAAAGCTATGAGGTCTCTTGTAAAAGTACTTAGGCTTGTTGATAATGAAAAGAAGTCGACAATGGGTAACATCTATCATGTAATGTTGGAAGCCAAGGAGTTAATTACAAAAAACTTCAACAACAATGAAAGCAAGTACAAAGATATCATTGATATTGTTGATAGAAGATGGAGTATTCAACTTCATCATCTATTACATGCAACTGGATATTATCTTAATCTGAGGTACTTTTATAGCAACTAAATGATTGAGAATGATGATAAGTTGTTGGATGACTTTTATGCATGCATTGATAAGCTTTCTGCAAGTGTTAAAGTTGTTGATACCATCCATAGAGAATTGTCAAAATATAAGATGAGTGTAGGCCACTTTGCATTGAAGGAAGCGGTAACACAAATTAATGAATGATGTAGTTGTTGGTAAGTAACTAAGTATATATGGAAATAATTTAATTACATAACAATTTTTGTGTATATATGCTAATGCAAATAAATCTTACATTGCAGCTGAGTGGTGGAGGAAGTATGGAGCAAAAACACCAAATTTGCAATTACTTGTTATTAAAATAGAGTTTGACTTGTAGCTCATCGGGTTCTGAGCGAAATTGGAATGCTTTTGAACATGTAAGTACTTAGTATTAAGTTATAGATTCAAATTAATAGTTTATATTTATTATTTAAATTAACGCTAAAATTATAATATAGATTCACTCCAAGAAGAGAAATAGACTTGAACATCAAATGTTGCAAGACTTAATTTTCATCAAGTATAATCAAAATTTGAAAGAGCGCTTTGACAATGATGATTTGATTGATCTTGTGGTCATGGATGATGATATTGATACCAATAACATATGGTTGTTGGGAGGTGAAGGTGAAACTCAACCTGATAATGATGATATGGTGTTTGATGGTGATGGTTTGTCTTTGCTAGATGTTGAACTTGCAAGTGGTGTTGTTGAGCTTACAATCAACACTAGGAGCCAAACAATAATGCAAAAGAAGACAGTTGCACTTCCACCACCTCCATCTTCTTCATCTAGATCTAAGCCAAAAGAAAAGGAAGTGGTGGTAGTAGGTGATGAATTTGGTGATCAAACATATCTTGGAGAGGATGAAGAGATTGAAGAGGATGCTAGTGTCGAAGGAATTGATGATGAATAGGGATGTGCAAAATATCTGGTTGTGAGATCCAAATCCATCATTTAAAATATTTGAATATAATTAAATGGTTATTAACCAGTTTAATTATTAATGGTTGGTTATCCAACCATATTTTATTTTTAGATCCAGTTATAATCGGCTTATTATTCAAAATCCAAATATTTCAATTCAATTATAATTTTTTTTTAGTAAAAATTTAAGTTTTTTTTTAAATATTCTTTTTTGAAAAAATAAGTTTTTAAAAAAAATATATAAATTTTGTGAAAATTTTAATTTTTACGAACTTTCACTTCGGAAATATATATTTTAATATAACAATCTTTCAACATAGATAAAATAGCTATTTGATATTAAAGTTATTACAAAAGGTTTGCTTTGTGTTTTTAACGTTGATATGTACCTCAAAGCTGGTTTGTATCGTTGCCAATATATCTCTGCAAGCAATGAGATATTTGCTTCCTAATATTCTGTTCATCAACTAATACAATCATATTGTTCCACGAATACTATGCAAAACAGCCAATTTAAGTTCCATAAAACATTCAATTCAGGTGTACTAAGAACTATACTGTTCCAGACTTGGAACACAGAAAGAAATCTTAGAAATTTGTTTGTTAATCTACATGGTTGATAAGCTAAAAAAGAAAAAGAGGCATAATATAGTAGCACAACAAAAGTGAAGTTTCTAATTGAAAAGAATAACTGACCATATTGTAAGATATTTTGTAATAATTATACTAATTATTTTAGGATAAATGATAAAGAAAAAATGCAACATGCTTGTTCCGCAATACTAAATCTCACATTGCTTAAAATTGAACTATCTCACATTGTTTAAAATTGAACTAGAATTTAGAATTTATGTGAGGAGCAAACTAAAACTAACAATAAGTAAAAAAATAAATCAGAATAAATTAATTAAGAGTTCAAGAATTTATGTGAGCAGCAAACTAACAATCAGTAAGCAAAAAAAAAAAAGTCAAAGTAAATTTTTTTGGATAAAAAATTATTATTTTTTGAAACTTTTTTTAAAAATAAAATTAAAAACCAGTTATATAATCATAAATAAATTTATAACCAATTTTATAATCAGTTTTTATTAAAATGTAGATATAATTATGAATCCAAACTATTTAACTGATTTTAAAATGATTATGGTTTGGTTTTTGAAAATAATCACCTATGTACACCCGTAATGATAAAGACTTTGATTTTAATGATTGTTGAACTTTTATAAGAGTTTAGATGTTTAAGGTTATTTTAAGATTTAGATGGAAAAGTGTTTGTTTTCTTGAATTTTGATAGTATGTTGAAATGCTTTTTTTTCTTTAAGTCTTATGCCTTTGCCTTTTGATGGTATTTAAAATTAGAAGTAAGTATGTTACTATGAATTTTAAGCAATGTATGCTATTATGAAGTTTGAGTTTTTTTTTTATTAATATATTTTCAGCGTGTAAAGTGACATTAAAAACTGTGACCGCGTCGCAAAAATAGTGCCCATGTCGCTTTCCGCTTCCGCGCCGCTCCCATTCCCATTTTGGGATTCATCGCGCCGCTTTTCGACATTATCAACATAGCCTCAACACTAATAGTAGCATAAAATCAGCTTATCGAAAAACAAATAATAAAATGAAGATTGTAATGAACTTACATTATAAGGGAGTCATACCAATGGGTATTTCTTGATTTTCCAGTTAAAAAAGAGTGTAAATGAAAATGCATTAAAATTAATACAAGCTGTAGTTTTTGCAACATCAAGACTTAATTAACACCAATATTGTCATAAAATTTGAATCCTATATCACATTTACCCAACACATTATGTCCTAAAATAGGGGAGTAATACAATAGCCACGATATGGTGTAAAAATTGCATAGGAAGGCAACACACCATTTAAACCATGAAAGATATCGAACCATGAGCTCATGAAACAGATTGTAGCGCTCTATCAAAGCTTTCTTCAGCTGCTGATACTCTCTTCACCAGTACATGATCTGGGTGCGAAAGTTTCAGCTGACTGCAAAACAATGCACACTTACAAGTCACTCACTAGTGGAAAATCTGCATTCTCAATCACATTAACAAAGCATAGTCCTCGTTTCTTTAAAATGCTAGTAGAAACATGAAATTATTTGAAAAAGATTAATGATAAGAAACAAATTTCAGCTTTTTGTTATTTCATGTATTTGCAACTTACAATTCAAGTGATCTGCAACAGGCATACAAATAACTTTCTAAATAGCAAGAAGACAACAAATAAGATGATTATTGCATTATATTGATACAAGAAATGCATAACAAGATCTCCATAACACAGGAACAATTTGCAAGGGAAAAGTCTAAGTGTAGAAGTATATTGGGACATTCAACCAATAAGATATAGAAGAAGGGCTCCACTAAGTAAAGTTAGATAGGAGACTTGCTGTCAAACTTAAGGACGTCCATTTCATAGATTTTGCTGATGCATGCTATTTACAGCGTAAACTAAAGAGGAAAACAACATACAAGCATTGCCAACTCCTCTAAGCATCAAATCTTTAAGATTTTTAGGTAGGTGTTCTAAATAGTTTTTTTTCTAGCATGGTCTGGTTCATATTTGAAGAGTAAGGAAACCATTAACACAACCAAAGTGTATCAATAAATATTTAAACAAATAAATATTACATATATATGATATTAGAGTTTTGGAGTTGTCATTTTCCAGTTTCACTTTCGGAGTAGAATATGTGTATTGTTATTGTTAGAATTGATATTATGTATTGTTACTAATTACTATTTACTATAGAATAATGTTTAGAGGCTTCTTCTAATGTTAACAACTCAAGTAAATTTGAATGGGGTACAACTTTTTTTAAACATTAGATTTAAAGGGATCCACCACCACACCACACCTTTATGTCCATGCTTCGACAACATCCGACCACCACCACCATTTTTCTCCCATCGTCAAGCTATATCTCCTACACCAAACAGATCATCAAACTTCCACTATCCTTGTCGGAGCTCTGCTGCCCTCAAAGGTTGTTTTCAGCGACCATGACGCCAAATCTTGAAAACAAACAACAGGTTTGTATTCCTTGTAATCTCCTCTATGAACCCCCACTCATTTATTTTATGGTCCAAGTTTAGATTTTTAACCGTCCCCTTTCAGGTCACTTCGCTGCCAAACTACTGCCATCTCTGGTAAGATACTTCTCATGATAGGTTTAAGAGCGAAGGTGGTAGTTAAATAATGCATAAAATTTCAAATTTAACATGTTTAGACCATTTTATTCTGCAGGTGGGAGTGGTGGGACTAAAGAGAAACAATTACCTTCAAATCCATAAATAGGTTCTAAATCTTAAAGAGAACGAAAAAGCAAGCAATTAACAACAGATGAAGAGGGAAAACTAAGCAATATCAATTAATTGGTGTCTTAGAAAGCAACGGCAGGATGCTACGCACTCAGCTTGAAGTGCAAAAAAATACTTCCAGTTGGATCATGAGCAATGCTCAGATGCAGGCAATCTTGTGTCGGTGAGGAGAAAATTCTGGTGTATTAGGTCTGTACTAGATTTGATAAGATTAAAGCATCTAATTGTGGAGATTTGGTAAAAAAATATATAAAAAAATAAAAAAAGCTGTGTACCATGCACTATTTAAGTGAGATTTGACACAAATGAACCATGCCTGAGAAACAAGCTAAACTCAGATCTGCAATGCAGTTTGGTTTCTAATATATGTTATCCGTGAAATATTTTAGGTTTAATGTCATGCCTTAAACTGAACCAACTCTGATCACGATACCCCACCTACTCATGAAATGCTACTTCAAAACACAACTCCAGGGCAGGGTGTTGAACCAGTTCATACCATTCTGAACCCAAAAGATTTTAATAATATAAATTCTAGCACTATATACCACAGCTTTTTATTGAAAGAGTCCGAAGCTCACTTTTGGAATTTTCAATCTCAAAACACCCATTTAATTAATCTCATTGCCAATAGCTATCATCCTAACACTTGAGAGATACAAACAAATAACTCTCTGAAACAATGACCCAATAGCACTAGGGGAAACAAATTTCATAAAAAAATATCCCCTGCCGTCCTTAACGCATAAAGATTCAACGGGCATACCCCGGGAATGTACATCCACGGTAGGATAAATAAAATCAAAGAAAAACATTACAAGAGAGCTTACCTGAATGATTTAGAAGATGGTTTGCCAAGGTGAAGACAACATACAACTAGATTGGCCAGTGTTTCTGGATCCCTGGCATCCTGTACAATTCACAAAGAGTTGGTTCACCACAAACATTATTTCCAAAAACAATAATTACCCTATCAAACTCTACTTCAGCACAATCCTAAAGGTTCAAAATGAAGAGCCAGCAGAATTTCAATCTTTATTTAATAGAATATACTCTTCTAAATGAGATAAGAAAACGCAATATCAAAAGTTCTGTCAAATGTATAAGCAGTGCAAAATAAACGTGCCTTGTTGAGTGCTTCAACCAAAAGAGTCTCAGCTTCATCAAAGTTACCCATTTGCATGCAACAAACAGCCTTGCCATTCAAAAGCAAACTAGTAGACTGATATCTCTCAGACAAATCTTGGAAGATCAAATGTGCCTCCTGGATCTTTGACCCTCCCTAATCCAACACCAATAAAACACATCACATTCCAAAATCATTAGCCAAAGAACACTTCTCATTTGGATTCAGATAATAATAATTCTAAAATTACCACAGATAAATCAAGCCATGCGTTAGCAAGTTGAGTGAGTGTGTGATCCTCGTCGATCTGCTGCATAATCCTAAGCTGTCTCTCAGCATAATCAGACCTGTGCATCTTAATGAAGATTTGGACATTCAAGGCAGTCCTGAACACGAACCAAGATCCAATCACTAACAAACTATTACACCTTCTTCTATCTCTCAACATTGTCATTGAAATTGAAATAATGAACAAATAAATTAAATGAAAATGAAAATTATTTTACAGTTCCATGGTTCCACCAGCATTAGTATATTTAAGAGCCTCGTTGAAATCTTGTTCATGCAAAAAGATAATTCCAGCAACAAGTCTCAGGGTAGCGTTGTTTCCAATAGCAGGATCAGCGAGCCATTCTTTGATACTAGAGATCGCGGATTCCTACAACACGAACAACACCAGTAACTATAAATTGACGATAATTTGAAAGGAGGACTATAAATTGAGAAAAAAATGAGAAATTGCGACCTTGGAATCGGGAGATGAGAAATAGAGAGCGAGCAATTTAACGGCCTGAAGAGGTGTAGGAGCGGAATCGTTGATTTCAGAGATAACGAACTGTAACTGACCGAGTGCGATGTAGCAGCGGTAGACGAGAGTGTCGCGCTCGACGACGTCGTCTTGAGAGAGGCCGTTAACTTCGCTGCTGTTGATGGCGGCTTGGTAGGCGCCGAGGTAGAAGTTGTTACGGAGGTTGAACAGGTGATCTGGTGTAGCCATTGATCGGTGGATCTAGATCTTGGATGATTGCTACAATAGATTCAGATTTGCAGAGGGAGAAGAGAAGGAGAAAAGGAAAACTGTGTTTTTTTAGATTTGAAATGGTGGTGATTTTTTGTGGGCTTTTATTCTGAATTGGAATTAGGCCTTTTTATGTTTTTTTTTTAATTTTTTAATACACCCTATATATTATTTAATCACTCCGTGAAAATATTTAAATTTTTTTAAATTTTAAAGATGTATTTTTGAATGCACCTTGAAATACTAAATGAAACAGAGATACAATTTTGTAATAATTTAAAACATATATCATGTATCATACTCAAAATTCATTTTACAAGTTTATTGTACCGAAGATACATCTCCGTTTATTTTTCGGAGATACATCTCTATAATTTATCATAACAGAATAGTACATGTTATGTTTTGTTTATGTGTATTCATATGAAGATTTATAAGCGTTATCTACCATGTTATGTGACTAGATTTAAACTATACAATCGATATGCAAAAAATGACGTATATAAATCCAGATAGTAAAAAAATGTCATATAAAAATAAAGTTAAAAACAACGATAAAGTAGCATGAGGTGAAAATAAAATGCAATCCGTAATGAATCCAAAATACAACGACTATATACTACTACACTATTGTGTATGTCGGACTACATCTCCTTGTCGCAACTGCGAAAAACACCCGGCGGAAAAATAGAAGAGTCGCCACCGAACGTTATTTATCCTAGAGAGAGAGAAAGGAAACGATCGAATAAAACCTAAAGAACGGGAAAAGACAAGGTCATCGCAACCAAATCTTGGGTTCGGGAGTCGGTTATGTAAGGAAAAGGTATTAGCACCCCTCACGTCCGTTGTACTCAACGGGATCTATACTTGTTGTCTAATCAAAAGGTGTGTTTATCTATAAGCTACTGCTAAACAGAAACAAGAACAAAAGAAAAAGAAAGAGACTCGATAGGACATCGCCACCCTATGCCTACGTATTCCCTCGTGCAATGGGAAAGTCATAGTCAACGTAGTTCATAAAACTACGAGTGATGGGGGAAGGTTGCTCGCCAAGACATCGTTGTCTTGTACCTACGTATCCTCATCTGGTATGAGAAATCAGAGCAAACGTAGTTCGGGAAACGAAACCACAGGTTTGTTAAGTATTTTTTATGAGCGACGTTAAGTTTCAATTCCAGCAGTTAGGGACGATGCATGTTTCCGGTAGAACAAAAAAGTAACGTACTTTTTTTTGAAAATGAAGTTTGAAACAACGATCCCAAAGGATAAAAGGTTTGACTTTTGTTTGTGAGTTTTAGTGAAGTGACTTAGTTTGCCTTGTGATTCACGTTGCACTAAAAGACTATGACATAAACACTCTAGACAAGTGAGGAGAAACCCCTCACTCATCATTTCCCATGTACTTAAGGCTCGTAGCGTACAATGTTCGTCGTATTTATTAGATGAGATAGAATGGTTTTGAGATGAGAAGAGAGACGCGCAAAAGGTCTAAGGGAAACTCAACCCTAACATTGTCATGCAAAGTGGTTCTAAGGTCGGGATGCGAAAGGAGATTCTATCCTAATGTTAGCATACAAAAGATGGACCTAAGGTTGAGGTTAAAAGGGACTAGCTTATATGTTATCATGCTTGGATTAAACTTCTAATGTCTATCTTACTCCAAATTCAATTGGAATAAGAGTCTTAAGGAAACATGCAAAGACAAGGAAAAAACAAGAAAGCAAGACAAAAACAGCAGCTACGACAGCGCCTCCTGCACTAAACAACAATAATATCCAACAGACAAGCAAGATAGCATATAACATCACATGATTCAGCATAAAAACAGGTGTGAAAGGCCAGACAGCAAGCAAGCAAGGCAAAGACATCATGCAATTTCAAGATAAGAACAGCTATGAAAAGTGGGGCAGCAAGCATGTTTGAATGCAATTAATCAAATGCAAACAACAATCATGGATAGACATCACACAAGTATGAACATGCTTCACCAATCAAACATTATCAATCAATAATGCATCATACAAGAATCATCCATCAAGCAAACAACATTAACGTGTTAAGCGCTCAAAATGGAAGCCAAAAGTTGCGCGTCGAAGAATCGAGATCGAACAATCAAGAACGATGAAGTATATCAAAAACAATTCACATAAATGCATCATATCAATCCATGAAGTTTACATGTGAAAAGGAACTCAAACAAGCAAACAAATGCAAAAAGAATGCAAAAAATGGGCCAAAAATACAAAGCTGCCAAAAATAGGCAAATCTGCCCCAAGTAACGGGTTACTCTATATAGGGTAACTGATTACTTGGTGCAAAACAGCCTAGAAACGTGAAATTTGATAGGGTAATCTGTTACTCTATATAGGGTAACCGGTTACCACTGAACCAGAAGCAGAAAATCAGTTTTCAAAAGCAATTTTCAGCATCAAACAACCTCTCCAATCAACCATATGATCATGACATCAATCAAGCACGGAATTAACATCAAGAAACAGTAATCAAGCATCACGTAAACACAATCAATCATTGACATCACAAATCACCAAGATTCAAATCATCAAAATGGATCAAAAAACAGCAAAAACCATGGATCTACATTGTGATTATCCAAATAAGTTCAAAACATAATTAGATCTAGAATTGTCAACCTTCAAAGCGGAGATTTGCTTTGGTGAGTGTTGATTCACTTGAATTTAGAAGATCCAAGCAAGAAACCCAAAGATTCTTCAAGATCCAAGAGCTTCCTTGTTGTAGAAATGAGATCAAGCAAGATCAAACAAAAATAATCCAAAAAACACTTCCAATCTAGCTTCCAAATTCAGATCCAAATCCAAACGAAAATTGAATGGTGAATTGAAAATAATGGAGATGAATGATGGAGGTTTAACTCTAGAATTCTATGATTCCAATGAAGAATCAAACAATTCAAGTGAAAGAGCTCTAATGAAGGTTTTGGGAGTGAAAAAGTGGAGAGAAAATTTAGAGCAAATTCTCAAAAGTGAGTGTGAAATCTGAAAATGAAGGTTAATTGTGTGAGGTTTGGAGCAAATTCACTTAAATAAGCTCTAGGTTTGGAATCAAAATATGGTTTGGAATGAGGATTAGCATTTGGGATGGAAATTAGGAGTGGAATTAGGAATGGAGTGTTTGAAATTTGGAGGGAAATGGTGAAAATGGAAACAATTCTAGATCCTTCCAAATATGATCAAGTGAAATCAATGGTTTAGAATGATGGGAAATTGCACATGCTGAAAATTCAAATATTTTGGAAAACTGCGCTTGAAGTAACCGGTTACCCTATATAGGGTAACCGGTTATCCTATTCAAAATTTGCCACTTTTGGCGCTAAATGGAGGGAATCCTATACAATCGCTCGTTGCTACTTGTTTTGAACTTTGTTATGCCTCTAAAACCTGCTCTTGAATATGGTAACTGTGAGAACGCCTGAGATAGCCTGTACACCGTCTCCCGGGCTAAAAATAACCTGCTGAATAAAATAAAATCGACCGCTCGATTGCTGGGCAAAATAAATGCCGGAGCCTCTAATGCTCGCTGTTTAGACTCTTACAATAAAAGGGAACCTTGAGCCATGAAAACACCTTGATCCCATGTCTTGAGAACCAAAGCTATGACATGCAGAAATGCAAAATGCAGAGGAACACAAGCCAGCTACGATTAAAACGAAAGGGCAAATTTTGGGGTGCTACACTCCTCTGCCTCCTCTAGCTCCTCAACCATCAATCCCCCCGCCCTTCAGCATTGTCTAAGGTACATCAATGTCCCCCGTGCCTCCGCCATGATGAAATTTAGGACCTACCTCACATCAGACCCATATGGGAAAATACCTCTGTCAATTCCTACATGCGCAATTTCCACTATGCGACGATATTTAGGCAAGACATCCTCAGCATGATCTAATTGTGCATGCTCCTGCTCTAGTATCTCCTGATGAGCTGGCCTCAATGGATATCTTTGAGCAGCCTGCACCAAATACGTACATGACACCCTAAAGAACCATTAATGCTACTTCTTCGTCTAAATATGTCTGCAGTATGGTTTGGGTATAGAGTCAATAGTGACAACTCTACAGGGCCTCCTCCAAATGCCTTTAGCTCAGTATCCTCATCATCCGAAGGTGGCACTGGCTCAACACCATCACTAGTAGAAGGTGGCACTGGCTCAAAACATCAGCAGTATCAGTAGTAGAAGGTGACACTAGCTCAACAATATCATGCATCAGAGGTGACTGTGGTGCGTCCAGTACCACTAGTGACTCGGGTACCTCTGGCGCTTGAATAGGTGAAACATGGTGCCTGCAGGAGGATAGAGGGAGTCATGCATCAGTAGGTAAAACTTGTCTCCTACTAAAGAATAAGATGGAGAAGCATGAGGAGAACCATGAACACGAGAAGTATATGGAGCTGCATGGCCATAGTGAATATGAGCCTCTGAAACATGACTCTTCTCCCGCCGCACTGATGCATGTTGTGCAATGTTCCTGTGCCTCAAGCTATCATGTCTATCAATCATAATGCATGTAAGTTAAACTAAACCAGACCAATAGTGCAAGTAATCAACACTACAAATAAGAAATAAATAATAAAAAAAACAGATTGCTATTTTACGGAGATGCATCTTCAGGTAAATATGAAACCAAACATTGAAAAATTCCAGAGATACATCTCTGGGTAATATGAAACCACGGGCTGAAAACTTCTGAAGATGTGATAACACGAAATCATATAGATATTTTCGTGCATAATTTAACTAAAGTCTAACCGTTTTCGATCCGATTTCGGGTTATTTCCATGTATTTGTCTGATGTTTTTGCAGGTATTTAACGATCACGTCTAAACAAGGAAACATGAAGAAAAGAAGCAATCCCAGATGAAATATGGACGAAAAAGGAGTGAAAACACAATGAAAAGCGCAGCAGACAGTTTTTGCTGATGTGACGACCGTCACAGATGCATGAC